CCCATCCACCACTGTCTTTACACACACAAGCAGCTGCTGGTGCACCTCGAACCCCTGCCCATCCACCACTGTGTCTTCACACACAAGCAGCTGCTGGTGCACCTCGAACCCTTGCCCATCCACCACTGTGTCTTCACACACAAGCAGCTGCTGGCGCACCTCGAACCCCTGCCCATCCACCACTGTGTCTTCACACACACAAGCAGCTGCTGGTGCACCTCGAACCCCTAAATTATTCTTATTGTTCCTATTATTATTTTAAAGAATAATTCCATGCACTAGCGTAGCTGTTTTCATGGCTTTATTAAAAAAACACAAGATTTTTAAATATAAATGCTTTATTAATGCATATCTGTTGAGGTGTTTTTGGTAATACATTTTAAAGAAACACTTGCATCCTGCCACATTTTTACTCATGCAACCATCTCTCAAAGTACATGTAGATAAACAGACTTTTAACTATGCTAAAGTTCAGAAGTCTCATTCATCAAATTAATATTAACCCCATAGATTTAGGATTCTTGAAACGTTCAGAGACGGAAAGCTTTCAAATTAGAGCAAGGGGCCAGAGCATGAGAAGCTGCATATTTTATGGTTTCATTTAAAGCCTGTTTTGACTGCACACTCTCTCCACAGACCTTTCGGATGCCAGGGCAGTCAGAGTGGGATTTTGTGCCTTTGGTGAAGCACTTTGTCCTGTATTACCTCCAGGAGGGGAGCTCTGCCTGGCTCTGTTTTCCGAAACATGACCCCCTCACCATCTACCACGCCGTCTTCCAAACACAGGAGCAGGCTGCTTTTCATCTCCGCTCTGTGGGTGTGTACCGTGCCAACAACATTGGCTCACTCAGATATCATGTAATGTGTTCCGGTGCCTCATTCACCAGGATTCTTTTTCACTGGACATTGAAGATACTCTAAATAACTTCATTAGCAGGAGCACAACATGAATGAATGCTCCTGCTAATGGTTATTTAGAGCATGGTGAATATGTTTTAAGATGAGTATACCTAGTAATTTTGAAATATGATGGCACTGTGATATGTTATGAGATTACAGTTTTCCACTGCAGCATATTGAAATCCTATACTATTTTGGCATCTGTACACTATTTTGAAGTAACTGTTCTCCTGTTAAAGTATATACCACTTGCAGGTACTGTAAAGTCCATGCCAATTCGTTTATGTGAGTTCCTTTTTATTTTATAGGCTCTTAATTTCCCTTTCCTCAGTGCCTAAAATATAGTGGGTCCATTTCAGTAGCAGGAACTGTCATCAAGCTATTGTGATGAAGTGTGTACAATTGTAATAACATAGGCTGATGATGTCACAACCGGCACAGCTTGCATGACAGTTTTAATTTTGCAGCCATACACTGCACATACACAGAAGAAGATGGGAGCACTCAGTCTTCTGTTTTAAAACCTGAGGTCTCTTTTGTGAGATTATATGAGGACCTGTTCCCAGGTTGGTTTGAGGAAACCCCTCCAACCGTGTCATGTACAGTATGTAGTCTGTGGCTCAGAAAGCTATCCAAACACAAGCTCTTGGAGAACATGACAGGACTTCATCTGAATCTGCTCAGTCAGATTGCACCGCTGGTAGTCCTGGAGTTCCCCCTTGGGACTAGAGTGCAGACTCTGGAATGGCTTCTAGGGATAATCTGCAGAGACAGGCAACACGGAGGGGCAGAACTTCATGCTAGTGTGGTCAATGGGACTGAAAAGCAAGGACCGGTCATTGTCGTCGGGTCTTATCCAGAGAGACTGCTTTTGGAGATCAAGATGACTAACCTACTGGAAAAAGGCATCTATGCTCTGCCCAGAGGCTTAGCATGCAGGGAGCAGTCCTGGTTACACGACGGACAGAGAGGTGTGCTCACCTCAGCTGAGAGCATCAGTATCATCACAAAGATCCTGATAAACTTAACAGCCAGGGATGAGGAAGGGTATGTCCCTGGTCAACCCACTGTCAGACTTGACACTGGTGAGCCCATTCTCAGCAAGCTGGTTGCCTGCAATGTAATCGCCAAGCTGTACCCTATGCATGATTACTTGCTTCTTGTAGAACTGCGGAAAAAGTGGCATGATGGCATGTTCTTGGCTTTGGGGCAACCTTTGAGAGAAATCCAGGCCTACTTTGGGGAAAATGTTGGCCTCTATTTTGGTTTTTTTGGTTATTTCATCCGGGCTTTGCTCCTCAAGTCCATCCTTTTTCTATTCCTGTATTTTTTTCCCATACAATCAAATGCTAGACTTGTCTTCTCTCTTTTTTTCAACATCCTGTGGTTCAGCCTCTTCCTGGAGGGGTGGAAGCACCGCCGAAACATGTTAACTTTGGAATGGGGGACTTCAGAGAGAAGGGAGGAAAGGCAAGTAGCTGTAGGTGGCAATAACAGAATCATGGGAATAAATCTCACTTTTGGGCACCAGAAGATCATTTCCTTCTCCAGGGAACTTTACTTCAAGACTCTTCTCCTCTCCATTCCATTTGTGGTCACCAGCTTGTTTGTCTCTGCAGGCCTAATTGTATTCTACATCCACCTGGAATCAATAGAAAGCAAATATCATTTCAGGGAGAAAAGCTGTTGTGGTGTTCCCCTCTACAGCCTTCCGGAGGTGTCCCTGACAGTTGCCATGCTGCTGCTGAACAGGGTATACATTGAGCTGGCCAAGCAACTCACTGAATGGGAGAACCATGAATCTGATGTGCTCCACCAGAAGTCTCTAGTAGCCAAACTTGTGATCTTTTACTTCTTTAACAACTTTGGTGTCCATTTCTATACTGCGTTCTACCTGCAAGACTTGGACAAGCTCCGCAAACACATGGTGGCTCAGTTTGTGACATACCAGATCCTCTGCGAAGTCAGCCAATCCATCCTGTCGTTTTTGATGACCAGGAAGCGCCATGGCAGGGAGCTTGTCAGAAGTGGTCAGGACCAGCTACAGCCTTTGGTTCTGTGCCAGATACAGTTGCAGAGCTGCAAGTCAGTCTACGAGAGCGAGCAGGATGACTACCTTGACCTTTTTCTGTCATTTTGCTACATGATATTCTTCTCTAGTGTCTACCCCCATGCAACCATTTTGTGCCTGCTCTACAACCTGACCAAAATCCTGCGAGACTCCTGGAGGTTCTGCAGTGTTTTGCGCCGGCCCTTTCCTGGGCCGGCCACCACCAACAAGATCTGGCATCAGGCATTCGAGCGCTTTGAAGCCATCGCATTGGTGACCAATGTCGCCTTGGTCTGGGTTTCTCCAGAGTTTCACCAGTTCTTCAAGGAGTACTCTACCACGCACCTTCTGATGGCCCTGGTGGCTCTCGAGCACGTGATGTTGGCCTTGAGGAGCACGGTAGTTTCGTTGATTCTTTTCATCTCCCAGGAGGTTAGGACCAGGATCAGGAGGATGAGGTCTCACTCTCTCTAGTCTCAGCAGCAACAGTGACTTCAACATAAGTTACTGTAGCTTAACACAGCCTTTCAAGGACCTGCATGAGAAATGACCAAAAACGTAACATGCAGAATAAACCTCAGCATATTAATACCACAAGTGTCTTCGTGAAATAAAGTTTTGACTTGATTAATTCAAAAGTCTGCATTTCATTATTAACAATTTAAAACATTTTGAAAACGTTTACACCTTCATTAACCAAAGATATTCTCCGATTTGTCAGCATGCTTGAGCCAGATTGTATCTTCCTTTTATTTGGTTAACTGAAGGGTTAACTGGAATCCTTTTTAGAAAATGAATAGTTAATGTAAAAAAAGTGCTTGGTACAAAAAATAATATAGTAACAACAACAGTTGTAGCCCTAAAGATTTTAGTGTAAAATGCAACAAGTAATATTAATGTTTTTATACTGTAGAACTATGTTTTGTTTTTTAAAAAAGTCATATTTGCTTTAATGCATCACAACAAGCCTATAAGACTTTATTGAAACTTGTGCTGAAAAGCATTACACATACATTAGACTTATGCAAAGCTGATCTCTTTATGTTGTATTAAATTGCTGAATTAATTGACATATCTTACACATATCCTTATGTCTTATACTTTCAGAGAACAGAGCCTAGAAATACATCTGCAGACATACAGAATGACCATAAGGTGCTGCTAAATACTGCTTTTCTGTGTTCTTTTTGTTTTTTAATTTTAAGTGATAAGATTTCAAACAATTCTAATACTTTGAACTGAAACTGTGCTGAGGATTTTTCAGGACTCACAAGTTCTTTTCTGCATATCATGCCCAGGACCAATTGGAGACCCTTTTAGCTGTGCCAACCTGCAGGAAGTAAAATCACTGCTAGACTCCCAGATTGCTGACAGCTTTCTGAAGAGAAAGCTGCTATTAGGATACAGGTGAGCGATCTGAAGCCTGCCAGTGGACATGGACGCCCTAGTGCTATTCTCAAGTCCTGTTTTTGCTGACCAATCTGAACCATGCATTAAACCATATACACTGTAGCTGTAGTAAACATGGCTGCACTGGTATGTTCAATGAACTCTCACCTTTCTTCCAGCACAGAACCTGACTCACCCTCTGTCTTTTACTGCAGCATATCTTAATTGCGTCGTCCTTCTCTGCAGACTGATTGCACTGCGTGCCCTGGTCACTAGCGAAGAGGGCTGTCTCCCGTCCTGCTGGAGAATGGCCCACTCTATGTGCGGTCAGCTGGAGTACCTTTGTAGCATTGGGCAGAGTCTGCAGGTCAGTGCAACAGGATAGACTGGTGGTGTCACACCCTGTGGACCTGCAAGATCCCTCTAATCTCCCAGTCTGGTGTGGTGAGTTTCAGGAGGCAGGATTGGGGTCAGGAGTGGAACTATAATTTGGGAATATTTTGGTGTCCTCCAGCACAACCAGATAAACAATACTGGTACCAGCACTCTTGTTCATGAATACACATATAGCTTTCCCCTTATTTCTATTCTTCTAATATGCATGTACTGAAGGATGTAGAGCACAGCAGTTTGAATCAGTGTCTGTTATGGGTTAAGGCACAAAGAAAATAAATTTAGTAGTACTGTGTTGCTAATGAAGAACAATCAAGCTTGTTACTTTTGCAATTTGCTGGCTAAAGCTGCATTTAGCATGTGTACAGTTACCTAGGCTGTGTTTACCTTGAGAATTTAAAATCACACTGACTGCAGTAATTAGCACCTCACATTGAAGGAGCGATGCAGAACTTTGCCATTAATTAATATGATTATATTAACATGAGCAAAGCTCTGGCAAGCACTCAAAGAAAGTGTCTGCAAGCAAGAGAGGAGAGGAATTGTTTAAACCAGTTATGTTTTAAGATCTTACTTGCTGGTCCGAAATTAACAGCGATGTTCTTTAATTCAAACTGAATTCTTGACAGAAGTAGGAACAGGGCAAAAATCAATTGGCAAACTCCTGCCTCAGCTATGTTGGTAATTTGGTTTAATTTAGTTCATTTTTAAATCCTCCTGCTACACAATGACCTGAACAGTAGAGCAGCCTTTTTTTGAGCAGCTGTGGCACAGAATTCATATACTGTAGTTTCCCATTGAATGGATGCTTTGGTTGGGCCTGTTTTTAAAATACTCCTCAGCAAGAGCATACTGTGCTGAGCAGACCTCTTCTTCCTACAGTATGTCTTTGCGCCATCCACAGGAAGCAAGAAGTCAAACCAGAGACAGACTCTGTCAATGCACCAGGAGGCTGCAGGTGAGGATGTGAGCTGTTGTCTCTTTCTAACAGCCAGCCTTTGCAGTTGTGTGACACAAAATGCACAAACAAATGCACAAAAAGTGCATATAACATGAGTCTTAGGACTGATCAAAATGGATAGTTAAGACTGCAGCAAACAATCAGAGAGAAGATATGTGTTTTCTGATAACTTGCCCTGAATTATTGTGGTGTAACGTAGTAATAGCAGAGAGCAGTGTAGTGAACATTATTACAAAACTGGGTAAAAACAAAGCAAACAAATTAAGACCTGGGATAAAACCAAGAGTGCAAAACATACTGTATTAGTGAACATTTCGAATGGCAGCTTAGTAGAAAAATAGTCAATTTCTTTGAAAATTTTTAACTCAAAGCTGTTGTCCTACATACATTGAATTCATGAAAAATAAATCGGTCTGCTCCCTCTTATTAACTCATAGTTCCCACATTTGGGCCTGTTCTGTATACTGTACGTGTAGTGAACTCAGGTAAATCTCTATACTTTGTTTTTTTGTCTGAAAATTCCAAGTCAAATCCAGTGTCTTCCCAAAAGGCATGGGCCATAGGAATTAATAGATTCTGCAGCTGGCCCTGTCGTTCAGGCCAGTATCAACTTCACTGTGATGTTTTTCTATTTCCTGTCTTTTCCCACCCTGCTGTGCTCCCCTCAGAGACCATGCTGAGGGGCTATGTGTGGACCGTACGGCAAACCCTCAAGCACCCTGGCTGCCTGGCGCCCCCAGAGCTCTGGAAAGCTGTCAGACCAGGAAAAGGGGGTACAAACGGAGAGAAGACAGCTTGGCTGAAGGCCATCCTGGCTGTGTGTGGGACTCTTTTGAACAGCCTGTCTCAGGCCCTTCACTTCCTGTGCCCTGAGGTCCACAATCTGCTGGAGAAACTGGACACTGAGAGGCAGTGGGCAGTAAGGGCTCAGGTCCACTCTCCTAAACCAGCCCAACCAATCCCTAAGATTTGCCCCAACCTCTCGCAACCTGAACAGGACACAAAGCAGAGAGCCTACCTCACAGCTGCACAAATGCTAGACTCCTGGTAGCTCCGTTGCAGCCTGAACATGTCTAAAGGTGCATGCCTGAGTAATTTGATCAACACATGCACAGCCATTTGTAAGGAACCGCTTCCTGTTCTTAGTCCAAAATTTGCATCTTATTGATATCCACCTGTGCCCTCCAGGGTGGATGAGACATGAGAATGATATCCTCCTATAACATTCAATACAATTTGTTTCCTGACACAAGTCTTCTCTCGCTCCAATCAGTCTTCATTGCAAGTACACACTAGTCTAGTCTAAGACGATGTGTACAATTTTTGTCTGTGGATGAGCAAGTGTTTCTTGAGCTGGTTTTGGAGGACCAGTAGGTGGCGTTTTTCCCCCTGTACTAGAGAATCCAAACTAATGCCCAGTTTTGTGACATGGGATGGGATGTGCTATTTTAAACTTTAAATTTTAAAGGTCCTGTCCACACTGTAGTCATCACAGCACTGTTTGAAAAAGAAAATCTAAGAGGCTAAAAAAAACCTGCTCGTCTTGAGACTCCTGTGCTGTGGTACTGTTTCCTGTCCTACTTCCACCCCCTGCATCTCCCCTAAAAAAAGAGTTGATCTCAGTGGGACTTCCTGGTTGAGTATAATTTTGATACATCAATAAGCAGAGGCCTTGCAGTGTTGTTGCGTCACAAGCTCCAGATAAAGGTTAAAACAGGCTGAGATGCAATTCCCTATTCTTTACTGTTACCTCTGGTTTGATGCAGCTTTGTTGTGACACAAGGCTGCATTTCACCTTTGTTTGTGCATTTTGTTTGCATAATGCCTTGAGTAATTGTTTCGTTAGGCACATGAAACCACTTTTGTCAGATAAATTGCCGTTGAAGGAAAAAAACTCACTTATGGTGCATTTGCTTGTTTTTCATGGACATGTGGATGCAAAGAAAAATATTTTGGTGTTTTCCAAAAGGTCGTATGCATGGTAACTTTCCAGTATGAATGTAAAAGTTTCATTTCATTCTAACAAAACTTGCTTTGAGTTTGTATAGCTTTATTTCTTATTGACTCACAGATGTTTCTAAAGAGGATTTAGTCATTTCCTTCCTTCTGCTGTGATGTCTTCCGTTCTAAGAATTATTTTTTTTTGCTAAGACAAACCATTCCACAGTGCCACAGGCAATATCGGTGTGATCTCTGACAAAATTTCATAAAGAGAAGAATGTTTCTTTCCCAAAAGGATTTTTTGCAAGCCAAAGGCACAACCCTTAGCAGTGTGAAGCTTGTGTTGATTTTTGAACTATTAGCAAATGGTAAGTTATCTACTCTAGAATAATTTATTAATTTAGGGAAACTTTGCTAATGCTTAAGTATCTTTGGTTTTATATTTCAAATGTTTAATAAAATCATATGAGGTCTGGGTCCAGAACTATTTGTTTTAATGTGAACTCCTATGGCAACAGCTCATTGCATTACTGAGATCTTGTAATACATTTCCAGATTAAGATTCTAATTAGTAACAGAATATGTATGAAATAAGAAACAGAAAGGGCATTTTGATCTATTAAAAAGTCTGAAATTCAGCAGTGAAAGTCTCTCACACTAACAGTCATGTTTTCTTTAAGGTCTTGTGTCTCTGAGATTGGTAGATGGACATGGTGCTAGTGTTTGTAGACACACGGATAGTAGATGGGTGCAGAGGGAGCTTTTCTACTTCTGTTACTGTATATTTTAATTTGATTTTAATTTGCTCAAGCACAGACTTGCCTTCCCTTTACTCTAGATCAGTGGTTCTCAAACATTTTTGGACCAAGTACCACCCCTAATCCAACCAAAGCATCCAAGTACCACCTACAAGTCACCATCTCATAGGAACCCCAGAAATTATCAATGACCAACATGAGCGCATGTGCACACACACTCACACATACATACAGTATAATAAATATTATAATAATAAACTTTGTTTGATATATTAAAATGCGGCTTCTCAAAGTGCTTTACAGAAAAAAAAACACATAAAAATAAAAAAGCACCATTTCAGTGAGAGGGGTGGGCCTGTTTAGTCGAGCAAAGCAGATGTGAATTAATTTTTCGAGCCCTGATGCAATTCACAACAGTCTAACAGATTTTAAATCGTCAGGCATTTTCTTGATGGCAAAGGTCTCGCGGTGGATGTTGCAATGAAACCATTAATTTCTCGAGCAACCTCTCTAATTCGTGCAACTACACCGCTGTGTCGGCTTGTCATTGCTCTAGCGCCGTCTGTACAAACTCCGACACATTTTATCCAGTCGATGCCATTCTCTTCGATAAATTCATTCAGAAGCTGAAATATTGTACGTGCTCTCCTGTAGTTCCTGTTGGTAGCGGCTTACAGACCAGAAAGTCCTCACGGGACGTACTGTACCCTCAAACTCGTATCTAACGTAAACGAGCAAATTGGCCAAATCGACTACAGACTCATCTAATTGCAGTGAAAAACATCTGCTCGTCTTAACGCGCGCTGTCATCGTACTTTTGATACAATCCTTCATTTCAATAATTCTATGAATGACTGTGTCTTTCAGGGGGGGCAGCAGGTCGAGCTGTACAGCAGCTTTTTCTCCACGCATAATAGTGTGGGGGTTACCTGCTTTAGCAATCCGCAAGCTTGCATTTTTCCACGTTTCCGTTTTTATTTCAGTGTTTATTTTAAGTACTTATTTCATGCGCATGGGAGAGAAACACAGAGACGCTCGGTGTAATTTTTTAAATTAACTTAGAACAGTTCTTAAATATTCTTCTGTTATTTTTCACGCTTTCCTGTGCTCACAAGATTACCAGCGTTGTAGCACGCGTTTCTATGCATTCCTGTGTTTACAACGTTGGCATTGTTCCAAAATCACGCACATTCTACTTTCTCCCTATTTGCTGGAGATACAGTAGCTTTTTTTAAATACAATTGGTCACCTGCGTCCGTAGCACGCATTCCTATAGAGTGGTATAGAATTACAGAGTATTAGCGCGCACTGTATCGTAGTACGTAGGCTGCGTATTCCACACGTATAAAAATACAAAATATGAAAACCCGTCCCGATTTTTTCAGCGCCCACAACACAGTTCCAGAGTCATTTGGCGTACCACCTGGCGGCACTCCACGTACCGCTGCCGGTACGCGTACAACAGTTTGAGAACCACTGCTCTAGATGAACAGTTGTGGGAAATCCATCCTGGCTGCCAGACATATTTACCTGGAATGATCATTTTTCAACATGATCAGTCATTTGCAGTTCAGAATTGTTTAGAGTCACAAAAGATAGGAAAACAAGGAAAAGGTAACATGTTCCTCCCTCCCACACTGTGAAATGTTCCAGCTGCTTGCTCAAATTCACTCCCGGCCCCTGCTATCAGCCTGGCTCCGAAGATGCGATCCCAGGTGCTGAAGCGCACTGTGGATATTCTGTGCCAGTCTCCGCCAGGCCATACCGGAAGCACGTTCCTGCTGTACAAAGAGCGCCAGCTCATTGACTCCAGGACCTTCAGTCCTGAGCAAAGCCTGGCCCAGTTCACTCTGAGGGGCATCACCACGCAGAACCTGACAATCTACTGCTGCCAGTACCAATCCCAGCAGTCTGGGGTGCCGATTTACAGCATCATGAGCCAGTACCTCTCCCTCATGGAGGAAGGTAAGTTCTGTCCAAAGAAAGGCTTTGGATTCCTAATTGTTACTCTTATTAAGTACTTATCCTCTTTCTTCTACTCCTTTTCTTTCCCTACAAATACAAAAAAAAGTGTGGTGTGTTGCAAATACAGTTTAGAATTCACACAGTTCAGTACCTTTTAGTTGGTAAGTCAGCTGTTCACACATTGTACAAACAGCAATTCATTAATTGTGCTGGAGAACAAGATAACATAAATGCAAAGTTGTATACTTGTCAAATGTGATACAGGAGCATGTCATAGGACCTATTGTTGAGGTCAGAGCAGTAATGTGAATGGCAATACTGGTCTGTTGTCCACAGATGGTTGTAGATTTTAAGTAGCTAAACTTAAGGCTCTGATTACTGCCTGCTGCCAATCCACTCTCTAAAAATGTAAATCTCCATATCACTATTGTCATCTAATTTTAACGCATTGAATACATACTGGATGCAATTTTAAATGATTTATAAATATAAAAGTATATACTTGGTGCATGTACTGATACAAACAATTTCAAGTAAGCTGAAGTAGTTCAAGTAGGAAACTGCGTCAGCATGCTTAGGCTGCATAGGAACAAGTAAAGGTTTAGTCTATGTTGAAAAGAGAAGAAAAGAAATACAACGTTTTGGCTGTGGAGCCTTGTTTGCGTGTGAAATCGGGTCACACGTAAAGAAGGCTCCACAGCCGAAACATTGTGTTTCTTTTCTTCTCTTTTCAGCATGGAATAAATCTCTACTTGTTTAATTTCAAGTAAGTCTGTGCAGACAAGCAGGAAAAAACACAAAATTGAAAATTGCATGTAATATATAATGAAACATCTGATACAGTTGCAGGTAGTCATACTGTATGTGTATTTACCAGATTTAAAAATATTCTGAAGAGATCCTGAAGTTTCTGGAGAGACAGAACAGCACACATCATCACTTCAGTGATTTTGTTTTGAAGGATGTTGTAAGTGATCATACACCCATCTCATTACTTTACCTAGACTCGTGTGGTTTTATCACAGAAACCTCACCCGGTATCTCGCCCAGGTGAAGGCGTAGATTGATTTCTTCTTGAAAAGTGTTTGGGTGAAAGTGAAAGTGAAAAGGGTGTGCCATAACTGTCTTTCTTCAAACAAGCGTGGGGGAAAACCTCTTGGGTGAACTGTCTACAATGTGATTCATGGTATGTGGATATATTATAACCTCTATTATATAACCTATATTATATGTGTATCTGGAGATATCGCTGGCAAATTCACAGCATCTCAAGACTTTTTACACGGACTACTGTAGCTCAGACATGGCCTAGTTAACCTGGCAGGATAAGATACTCAAATCTGGAAACCCTAACCTATTTCTTTCTTTCTGAAGTTTGTCAGGTCTGTACTTTCAAATGTCTGTGACAGTTAGGCAGAGGATGTTCACTCGCAAAAGGAGAGTGTTGCTTTGTTTCACTTTGAAGTCTTTGAGCCTCTCAAACAAAATTAAATGTATTTTACAACATCATATATCTTTTCTTTTTGCTTTCTAATCTCAACATGGCCTGTTTGACTTTAATGTTAAAGGTAACTTTAAACAATTAGGAAATTAAATGTCCTTAAAATCTGAATTGGCTTCAGAATTCTTGATTATGTCATGACACAATTTTTAAAGATAAACACTGTGAAATATTATTCCATGCACCCATAGTGTCAGTGCTGTGGCTCATTTGAGCTAATTTCCATTCATGTCTTTGCATTCTGCTGGTTGGAAGTTAATTTGAAATGATTTTGTTCCTTTCTAAGTGTTAAGGTAAAATTAATGTCTGCAGTAACCCATTATTTTCTAAGATTTAACAAATATTGGTCCCCTAGTCCTTTTTAGCCCTGACTACATCTGGTAGCTCTACATTGGATTTTCTTTTACATCTCCTTTCATGTTATTGAGATCAGAGCTGATGGTAGTGATTCAGATGTAGTCTAAATAATTGCAGAGTATGAACAGAATTCACTATTCCAGATGTGTCAAGGGGGTCATTGTATTTCAGGTGTTTAAGCAGGGCATTGCTCAGATTGGACCGAATTCAGTATTCCAGATGTGTTAGAAGCAGAGCATCACATAGTTTCAGCAGAAATTCTGTCAACTTGTTTTATATACTCTGTGCTTCTCATCTTAGTTTCATAATTGTTATTTTCCTGGGCATAAGAATTTTTTTAAATGTTTTTATTCATGTAATTTGGTGATATGGAGGTAAGCCAGTAAGCATGGTGAATTTGTTAATCATCTGCAATGTGGGTAAGACTTCTTCAACATAGCCCTCTTGCATATCCACAGACGTCTACCAACATCTCACATGGTTGTGGGTGGCCTTGTAATAAAGTGATGTTGGCTGGCTCCTGAGCCAACCCTTCACTGACACTTGGACCTCATTTTCATCACCGTAGCCCTCACCTTCAAGAGCATCAGCCATTAGGCCAAACAGGTGAATAATTGATAGTGCAGGATCCCAGCTGTGTATTAGGTGGGGTACAATCATAAAAATTGTCAGGTTCCAGAATAGTGTCCTGTGTTCTGTACACTTTGTGAATTCTGCGTCTCCTGTCTTCTTGATTTTGCAGCTCCCTCTGTCCTCCCGAAGCCCTTGATGTCTGTGGACCCTCCTGGAGGCTCTGTGTTGGTTGGGCAGACCCTGTCGTTCCGTTGCACCGCGTCCCAAGCCCCACGGCAGCCTGAAGCCTTCCTGCTGCTGAAGGATGGGAGGGTTTTCTTCCGCCATGCTGCCCCCGCTGGCTTGGAGGAGTCATTCACCCTGAAGCCGGTGCAGGGCAAGGAGGGGGGCTTTTACAGCTGTGTGTACCAGGCCCGCCTGCCATCCCAGGACATTGTGAACTCCACTGCCAGCGACCCCGTCTACATCACTGTGTCAGGTGAGGGAGATGCAGTTTAGAGCAAAGGTGCACAGCTTCTTAAGAATCGTAATAATCCTCTATACTGTAGATCGATTTATGAACTCTGTTAGAAACAAAACGAAACCAGAGGTCACAAGGCTCCTCCAGGAAAAGGACTTTACTATAGCTCTCTGTTCTTTATGCTTAACCATGATTTACTATACTTTTGGTTTGCTTTTGCTTCTACTCCAGCTGCCCTATTTGGCACTGTCCTGTGCGACATTTGACCTTTGAACTGCCCTGCATTGTTCCCAGACTCCCTGGCGGCTCCCTCCCTTGTCCGTCTGCCCTCAGCAATGCAGAGCGCCAGCAGCGTGACCGTCAAGTGTGTGGGGTCGCCCTCCTACCCCGGCGCCCTGTTCAACCTGTACCGCCTGGGAGCCGCCCACCCCCTGAGCTCCCTACGCGCCACCGCCGCCCAGCACGGCGTCCGCTTCATCCTGCCCGACCCGACCGGGGAGTACCAGTGTCAGTACGCCGTGAACCTGGGCCAGGAGTGGAGGGAGTCCGCCCGCAGTCTGCCCATCCTCATCGACCCTCCAGGTGTGCGCTGGTGTACCCAGTAACCCCGCTCTGTACACAGGCACAGCAGGCAAGAGTCTCATCCCGCCGCAGCCTTGGCCAGCAGAGGTCATTCATGGACTGTTTGTTTGGTTGGGATCTGTCACTTCGTGCAACATGCAATTTGTCATTTAGAAACTTTTTGCTTCGGTTAGTTATTTCTTTTTGTACTTATTGTTATAGCTAACGCCGGTTTTGTTATTACAGCTAACAGAAATGTGATGGTATCTATAATGTACAAATCCGGAAACCTAACAGAGTTCTCTTTTTACTAGATAACCACTGATATTTAACACGTCTTGGTTTATGTTTCTCAAACCATTCTTGTATTCTGGAGGCACAGTGTCACTTTATGGGAATACACAATGTTATACATGGAAACAAGAAAAAAACTCAAAACACATTCTAGCATAACTCCACAGCCTGTTTCAGGCCTTTTTCAAAAGATATTAAAAGCCTAATGTGTTTAAAGCTGAAATATTCACATATTTAATCTATCATGGAAAGGCCAGTGATTCTCAAGTCAGTATTTACTGTAGCTATGATTCTTACTTAAGGTAAATCATTCAAACAGGCGCTAAACTAAGAGACGATACTAACAATTCAATTGCAGACTGTGAAGGACTTTGTCCTCAGCCAGGAGACAGCTATCATGAGTTCTGCCCTTGCACACTCTGCTTCTGGGATAAGCCCTGGTTTGCCAGAACCTACATTATGATACAGTATATGTTCTTTGGATAAAGAGGTTTTTTTTACCCAGGATCTGCATGTCTGGGTCAAGAACTGTGCAGGAATCAAACAAATACAGTATGGCTGCTCTACAAGTCTGTTTAGGAAAGGACACTTTCTTTCAAAAACTTCCACACCGAGTCCAGCTATATTCATTCAGAAATACTTTCCCTAGCACTTTATGAATCATTACTGATAGGACAAAATCAGGAGAGCTGCTATAGCTCCACTAAGCATGCTGCTTATCTCACAGCTCCGCAGGAGAGGTATGAGCTGTGCACACTTTGTTGGAGTTATCTGTGTGGCAAGTCTCTATAGTGCCTACACAGCTGATGCTGCCCTACTTGCCATCCCTGGCCTATGGTCTGGTTCTGTTGTGCAGGTGGACAAGCTGGACAGTCCCAGAGTTTAGTTTACCCTTGTTGTAAGGCTCAAAGCCAGAATGCATGCCACTCTTACCAGCTGTTACCAGCTTAGAAATGTGCTGCAGGCACTGGACTTTTTTAGAGTCCTGGTCATTTCAGGTCTGGATTTTGATAGCTCTGTAAGCTGTGCAACATGTCCTTCACCTTCACATTTCCTTTGACTTTAATTTTTCCAATGCTTTTTTTCTAGGACACAGTGTTCCCACTGAACCAAGCACCCCTGCTTCCCACATAGGTAAGCTGTTGTAGAAAATAGTTTTTTTATCATTTCAGGAAGCTTCCACTCAATGGTAATGGTCTTAACTTCAAGATGAAGCAATCTTGAAAGAGACCTTTAGAGAAGCCTCAGTGCATTCTCAGGGGTGGACTTCCACCCACAGTAAGTTTAATGGCAGTAACAAAAAAAGAGTGGCTTCAGATTTTGAGTTAGCCCTGAATAGCATGGTTTGTGAGGTGCAGATAGTGTATCCCATCATTTCTGGGGAGTGTAATCTGGTCAGTGTGCTTTTGTGGGAAAGTAGGTGATAAGAGGCATTGTTGATTGCTGACAACTGTGCCTCACTGAAACTAAAAGCAGACCTGGCTAAAATGCTGCCAATTCAGACAGCCTCAAAGGTTTGCAGTCCCTGGATGTCAGCCTATGGATTGAGCACATGTAGTATGCTGTAGCTGGGTCAGATTCAGATGTAGAGAAACCTCAGATGCTGTTTTGAGTGGGGCATTTCCTCATGGACATCTGTGAACAGCAACGGATATGAATACCAACCATAATAATTATTGAATTGAATGAATAGCCACAATATTAATTGTCTAATGCAGTACATACTACCTAGTAAGTGTGTTGTAAGGCTTTGGATGCTCTAATGTCATTGGTCAGGAATGGTCTGACTATCAATCCCCTCCTGCTCTCTACAGACTGGGCACTGGTTGCCGGCTCAGTATCTGCTGGAGTCCTCTTTGTTGCCATCCTGGCCATACTGGTCTTCCTGCTGCACCGGAAAGGTAAGCTCTTGTGTTTCTGGAAGCTGAAGGACTATGTAGAGTACAGTACTTTATGTTAAAAGCTTAATTTGATATGTGACACAATACCAAGCATGCGGCAGAGGACACAAAAACACACAGGTGTCTACAGTTGGACCTTGTGTGTAACGTGGAGTCTGATGCACATCTTGGTCTTGGAGACGAGATTGTTCCATTGTGTTTTAAGGTTGCTTCTTTTAACACAGCAAGGAGATACAGTATAGACAAATGAAAGCCCCTTCATGTTCTTAGCTGTGGTGTCGTCAGTCTCATAAATGAGAGGGGGCTATTTGGCCTGTGTAGCCTGCTTATATGCTAGTAGCTCTTGATCCAAGGCTCTCATCCAGCTTGTTGTGTTGGCTTCAACAACATGGCTTGTTCCCGACTCCCACAGTACTATGATCTTAGAAGTGCATCCCGTTCTTAGGTTTTAATGCACTTCTACATAGTTTTCATTTGTGTCCTCTTAAATGTTTTCATCTATGCCAGAGTTTTCCAGCTGTGTCTTCATACTGTAGATCCAAGGGAATCAGTCTTAAACACCTGTACTGTGTGTAACATAGTTACAGAAGAGAGATTTCACCGTCAAGATAGCATTCAGTATTTAACAGCCCCATATTGGAAGCTCTTTTTTAAAATCTTAAAAGTACAGCTATGGAGCGGCACAGTGGTGCAGTGGTTACCACTGGGCTCAGTTCTGGACCTGGAGTGCTATCTGCATGGAGCTTGTATGTTCTCCCTGTCTTCGCATAGGTTTCTTCTGGGACCTCCAGTTTCTTCCCACAGTGCAAATACATTCTAGTTGTTTAACTGGATTCTTGGAAAACTGGCCCTGGTGTGAGTGTGCTTCCTACAAAGGACTGACATTGCCCACGTTACTTGCTGGGATAGGTTCCAGCTATCCTGCAATTGAGGGTTGCTATACTGCAATTGAATCTGCTAGAAGATGGGTGGATGGTGGTACAGAGATTGAAATAAGAGTGAGCTTATCTCTGAATCCTGCCATTTGCAGTGCTTTTGGCTTGTGGTCCCCTAAGCTGTCCTATAGAAACAGATAGTGCCATAGAGCAGCCATGCATTCCTTCCTTGTGAAAATTCCCTCAATTCTGCATTCATCACACAGCTTAGAGCTGCACTTTTAAAGGTTGAGCTTTAAATTAAGTTTAGGCTGGAAAGCCTGCACCTGTTCGTCTGGGCTCTGCTTTGCTGGGAAGGTGGCTCTCGTGACCTTGCCTGCTTTCTTTTCTTTTGCAGTGAAATTGCACACCGAGAAGAAGAGAAAGAGGTAGGTGTGGCATTGCAAGACAGTGCAGTATTCCCTCCACAGCCTTCCCAGGTTTGCCACAGTACTGATGTGTGCATGACGGAAAAGCCTGATTCTTTTTCATGGTGACATGTCTTCACCACACCAAAAGGTACCAAAAATAAAAAATGGATGTTGTTAGGAAAATCAAAAATGGATGTATCTTTTTACATTTACAGTATTTGAGCTGTCTACCTGTAGGAAAAAAGGAGAATGGACAAAATTAAGCAGATTTTTTTGTTTTTAGGGAGGAAGCACTGCTATGGAATTCTTTACACAACATGGATAACATCATTGGTAGGTTTTCCTGTTATTTGCGGTACCGTTTACTGATGGGTGTGTTGAGGTGAGTTCCTTTTATCTGTTTGCCTGCTCTTCTCCACTTCAGTTTCCTTTTGAACTTTCACGTTTCAGAGCTTCTCCACCACAAAAAGAGAAAAGGAGGCTGTAGGTTACTTCAGAGCTCGACACTTCGGCCGGGTGGCAGATTCTGAAAGTGTCACTCTTTCTGTGGGTCGTATCAGTGACGGCGGCATGTCTATTTGTTTTTCAGACTTCTCTTTAAGAGATCGCTGCACTCCGGCACAGGTGATGAACTCATAACACAACTACCTCGTTCTTTCTGCAGTCAGCAAAACCCCGTATTTTCCACTTTTATTCTTCAGAGAGCTCGGAAGAAAATCCTCTGTTGCAAAATCCTCTTAAATTTTAGAATTTTGTGTAAGCCGACTGACGCCTGGTATTTGCATTCTCACTTTGGCTAAGGGGAGGAGAGGTGATCGTTTTTGAAATGATAACTTTCAATTACTCCTGTTCACAGTTTTCCTCTACCTTAAATGGTCCTCTTTAAGTACTGCCAAAGTTTATTAATGAAATCAGGTCAACAGGGGGAGGATTATTCAGTCTAATACAGGCATTCCCCACTCTGGTCCCTGGGGTTCAGGATCCAACAGGTTTTCTACAGTATTTGTCCTTATGTTGCCATGAGGGAGATGTCGAACATATCCAGTTAAGGTTTTACTGGCCGAATTCATTCCTCCTGTATAGTCTTAAGATGGTGAAAATGAAAGAGACAGAAACTCTGCTGTATTTTGACCTCAGAGTTGGGGACCTCGGCTTGTATCTAGTGTTTACTGAATGGACCCGATACTCAAGTGTCTGGGTCAATTGCAGCTTTTAGCTTGTTAATTTGTTCAAATTGTAAAATGTCAAGAGCTGAGATGTGTTGAGTAATTAATCTGTAAACAAACACAAATAGGTGAACCCCTTAAGATTTAAAAGGCTGTATAGTGTTTTTTGTCTGGTTTCTGTGCCTCTGAAGTATAAAATGTTAAACAGGGGCAAATTAACTATTAACGCCACTCTCACATCATTTTTGCATTTTCTAACAAGGACCCTTCAGGCATGCATGAGAATATCATGTTATTTATTGGATCATTTATTAATTTACATTACCTTTTGGTCCTATTTATTGTGTGGGGATTGCCACGTTCCATGTTTTACCATGCTAAACTATGTTATACCATGCTTTACCATACTCTCTTGACACTTTTGCTTTTGCACCCGACGCTTTAACCACAGTTTTGTTGCCTAATACAAAGTTCCCAACCTCGCTTCCTTATTTTCAAAGCCCTGCTTTCATTCTGAACTGGTTCTTGACGCAGAGATGCACACGTGGTCATGTACAGTACCGTCTGCCTTTCGGAAAAACCACAAAGGAGAAACCTCAAGAAGGAAAGGCCCTGGTTTTGTCTGATCGGATGAGAAATCTGTCCCTGCTTTTGTTTGCCTGGATGAAGCTGAAAATAGTCTAGGCAGAAACATAACCAGCAGGAGGTAACATGGGAAGTTATACTTATTCCCAGCATTCAGCTTCTCTTCCTGCTATCCTGGCTTTCACAGTCAGAGAGTTCTTTCCAGTTTTTTAATTTACTTACAGTATGTGTTTGGGTGACACACCCTTTATTATTACTGTTGTAACTACTGTATTGCTTGTTTATTCATCTGATTCCTTTATTTCAACATGGTACTGGAAGTGAAGCAATATGGGCGACAGCTATCGCCACACATACAGGACAGCGTAGGGCAGTGCTCAGCAGGGTCCTGATAGCTGAGACTGTTGGAGTTTGCTGCGCTGAAGCTCATCCCTCTGCTGTTTGAGTTAGCTTCTGTCCTGACAGAAAGGGCCAGTGAACTGTTGAAATCGCTGTGCTGTTGCTCTTTGGGAGAGGAGGCAGGGAGTGGCTGGCGTACAGCACGCAAAGCGTAGTGCGTAAGAGAAGATGTGTTGCAAACAAAGGCGGTAAAAAGCTTGTCGAAATACTATGGTAAGTAATTGAATAGGCAGTTCGCAGCTTTTGAAACGTAGGGAAGCATGTGATTTTCAGATCTTGTGGTCCTTTCAGGTTTATGGTGAGCATCTTCTGTTCTCATGAGCTGTTCTCTCGCTGTGATCGGTTTTACAGGACGGGGGAGCAGAAGCCATAGCCCATGGGGACCAAATACTGGGGAACCCCCCACATGGCACCACCAGGCATAGAACCTCCTCACTTTCATTCTCGGGGCCCCAGGCCTTCACCACCTTCAAGAGCCCAATCCCCTGACAAAGGTCCTGCCCAGGACACAAGCAAGCATGTGGACTGAATGGACTAGAGACTGCCCTCTTGTGGCTGTCTGCAGCAGCACAGCCGTCACCGCTCTGACTTGTATCTTCTCCAATGGGCAACACCTGCCCAGGTCTTATGTGAGCACGATTTCAACGGTGTTTAAAACATGATGTTCCATGAGAGTTGTCATACTCACTGCTCCCGTAAAAACATGATCTAAATACAGATCTTGCTCCTCTGTACATGAAACAGATGGCCTGGCTAGTCTATGGGTTGCACAAATGCAAAAGAGACTTTCTCCTGTCCTGGTTCGTACTAGATTAAAGGAAATGTCTTTAGTTACTGAAGTTTAGGATTTCAATCATGGAGCTCCTGTCTGACTAGAGGGAGGACCCTAAGATTACCTTGAATAGCTTTGGACACAGATATCTTGACTTCTTAACTTTGTGCCCAGTTTCCCTGACAGGAAAATAAAGCACCACCTCTGTCAAAGACTACTCTAGGCGACTCGTTTCAGATCGGGATGAACCAGTATTGTTCTGTTAAGAGCAAACCTGGCTGTCTTCGTCCTTGGATTGAGACAGCAGGACAGTGTGTGTGCATCACTTGAAATAGATTCAAAATCTGAAAGCTTTGTCTTAGACCATGCACTTCTTTGTGCACTAAAAAAATAATGTGAAAGAAATGAACTGAGCCACAGAGGAGCTGTTTTTAATTCATATCATCTGTGAAACTTGGAAGGTCTTCCTCAAAGTGTGTTTTTTTGCTTGTTTGTAACAGAACTTGTGAAATATCTGCTGTAATGATTTTGTAATCAAGCATTGTTAACCTCAGAATCTAGAAAAAACAAAAAACAAAAATGAGGTTGTTTAACCTGTACCAGATGCACTGTGATAAATATTATACTTAATGTTTTCTTCTTTTTATCATTTTCTGGTCTGTTCTGTACGTCTGTAATAGAAATGTTGTAATGAAACTATTTCATTTCTAAAAATAGAGTAAAATGAATTTATGTTTAAGAAAGTCTTAAAACAGTGGAATTAGCACAGTGTAGCTTTTTAACTAGAAATTGTCATTTGCATTAATTTATAGTACTTCAAAAATAAGCATTTAAAAAAACTGGACACCTAAATGTGACCTGTGGCAATATACTGTATGTTTTCAATGGATTCATAATGTTGTTATAGACTTGTGTAGAAATCTTTTCAAGACCTTTATAAAATGTTGTGTGTACAATCCATTTACAAACTCTGTTTCCTGGAGCAGTAATTATGTATGGTACATAGACAAGAGTACATGTGATTCCTGTCTCTAAAAAATCCATTAGTGTTTGTTCCTGTTTCACATCTTTAAAATTGGGTAACCTCACATATTGTTGCAGCCAGCAGCTACTGTATATCACCCTGCAACTCACAGCTGGCAGCCCACTGATGCTCAGCAGGTGTGAGCCTGGTCAGTACCTGGATGGGAGACCTCCTGGTTGCTGCTGGAAGAGGTATTAGTGGGGCCAGTAGGGGTCACTCATCCTGTGGTCTGTGTGTGTCCTAATGCCCCAGTATAGTGATCAGGGACACTATACTGTAAAACTAGCGCCGTCCTTCGGATGAGATGTAAAACCAAGGTCCTGACTCTCTGTGGTCATTAAAAATCCCAGGACATTTCTTGAAAAGAGTAGGGGTGTAACCCTGGCGTCCTGGCCAAACTTCCTCCTGGCCCTTACCAATCATGGCCTCCTAATAATCCCCATCTCTGAATTGGCTTCATTATGCTGTTCTCCTCCCCACTCAGAGCTGGTGTGTGGTGAGCATTCTGGAGCACTATGGCTGCTATCGCATCATCCAGGTGGGGCTACACATTGGTGGGAGTACCTGGGAAGTGCTTTGAGTGGAGTGAAGTGCTTTCTCCAGAAAAAGCACTGTATAAGTGTAAGGAATTCTTATAAAGATAGCTGTAGTAGTTTTCAGTTTGTGAGAAGTTTCCTTGTGTACCACTAGAGGGAGCCCTGTTCCACTCCAATGCTATACTCTTAAAGCCCTTGACAGTTTCTTAACACCCGCCTCTCTGTGCTGCTTTGTCTTTTTTTTCATTTTTGTCGTGTCTTCATTGATATTCTGGTACTTTCTATGTATCCAACGGTAATTCAGCATGAAAACATTCAACCTTTCTGTGGCTCTTCTATAGCTCTCATTGACAAATGAATTGCACATGAGTTTCAGTCTTACCTGATTGCAGTTCAAGTGCTATCCCCTAGGAGGCAAAGCTATCTCTGTTATTTCTTTGATTTGCACATCTGTGTATCTCTCCACTTTGTCCAGTTCAAGTCACAGTGGGGGTTAGTCTGTCCTGGCAAGGAAGCGGTCCTGTGATGGACAGGCTGACAGAGACACATTCAGACCAGGGCCAGTTTCCCAGAAGTCAGTTAAGCTGGCAGTAGGCTTTTTGACTGGGAGGAAAGCCACGTGAACATGAGGAGAACATACAAACTCTACACAGACTGCAAATTCAACCTGGAGATCCAGTGCTTCAAGGCAGCAAGCTACAGTAACCACTGCGCCACCTTTCCGCCCTGTTGTTACACAGTACATAATTATACGTTATAGTATAAAGGTTTAAAGATAGTTTTGTCTGCAGACAGAATAGCCTTATTTTATTAAATAAAGATTGATTACTGGGTTAGTCTAGTTTGCAGTGTGAATAGAGCTGTTTTTATTGGGGAAAAATTGACTTGTTTTGTCATTATCTGATACCTGATTGTGATTGTGAAGGCTGCTCAACTCTTAAAACTTTACAGGAAATCCTGAGGGTCTTGAATAAATTCAGTGCTGGATTTTCAGAAAGAGAAATCTCTTATGGAAGGATCTTTTGGGTTTCCTGTAGATGCAGAAAGTTCACAATGGAGGAATGGCAAAGGTATCCAAGGTGCCATTGCTCTGCAGACAAAGAGCAAAGCTACCCTGAGTACAGAGAGAAAGTCCTGTGACTTCTCTGGACTTTCCAAGTTAACAGGCCTGTCTGGAAACCACCCCAGATCAGGGACAGAATTGGGAAGTAAAGGTTATTCGAAAGAAAGTGCAGAGAATCATGGGTTGTTTTTTTTAATCGGGAAGCAGGGCAAAACCACATCTCTGATACTCTGAGGAACACGTGCACTGCATCTGGAGCGCATGAAAAAAAACGGGAAGGCCAGATAGCTTTCACACTGAAGAAAACAGGGCTTGCTGACTTCAAGCAGCAGTAGGGGAAAGAAACGGTGTCTGACGTCTGCAGAGTAGCATGTACTGTAACAGCTTTGATTCTACAGAAAGAGACAGTTCTAATACCAAAAATGTCGATCTTAAATATTTCAATGCAAATGAATCTTTGTTTTTTGAAGGTGTAAATGACAATGAAAAAAGTGAGTTTAAGCTCTTTCGTGATTTTCAGGTTTTAATTTTCCCCATCAACAAACAAAATGCACCCCTTCTTTACCAACGGCCTGCTTGAATTTGTTAGTTTTGGACTCTGATACAGTCTACAGTACCTGCGGCTCAGAATTCCCACTGGTGGCTGCAGTAGAAACCCTGAAGCTGACAGTAAGTGCCCTGCTGCCTAGCTGTATCCCCACACCAAGCCCATCGTAGATGCCAGTTCCTTTTTCGGAACTTTTTCACCATTTTGATAGCTTGCAGATTCTAAAAGATTGCAGATTTCCAGCTACTTGTAAAATCTTAGGGCTTCCAATTGACTCGACCTGTTCTCTGCAAGGCACTTAGAAGTGGCGAATTATTCGCTGATTGTGACTGGGATTTTCCGAGCGACGCGGACCAGTGGGTTGCCTGCTGCCCGAGCCACAGTTGAGATTAGTCTCTTGGGTGTCCAGCAGCTCCTGGTATCTCCGCTCACAGGGCACCAGCGACGTAGCAGCGTGAGGCTGTGATGGGCAGGCGAGCCGGAGGGGCCAGTGTGTCCATCTTCATTCTGCCCCTGCGCTGCAGGAGTCGCTGCTGGGAGCCGAGCTGCAGAGAAACAGGTGGCGGTGTCACGTCGGGTGAGCAGAAAACGAAAAGGTGTCGGACGGAAGGAAGTGGCAAGGTTTTTTAAAGCCCATTTCAAGCTATTGTCAAAATAATAGATGAGAAATTATGGAAATACATAGTGGTGTAGCCTGGCACCCTCCATCTCATGAACTTTTATTGCTTTATACCCTACGACAGCAGTTACTGAAAGTGAAAGTTGGACATTGTAAGCAAAACCCTATCAGTCCTGATCTAGTCTTACTGCACTGGGCTGGCAATATGAAACTCTTCACCACTCATGTGCTTTTTTATGGCAGCACAGAACTGTTTGTGAAAACCATGAGGTTTTATTTTCATTGCGCTTTGTGTTTACAACCTCTGATCCCCTGCTGGTTCTCGTGTTCTTGTTTTTGACTCCCTGTGCTAGCTCTGGAGCGTTTAAGTGGCAGGGGAAGCTGTTTAATGGTGAAGTGAGCTGTCGAGCACATGCGTTAACCCTGTGCTGTGTGCAGGGACTCGGCGGGTGAGCAGTGGCACTGACCTCTCCTGATGAGAGGCTGACAGCTTGACGGCAGTTTGGACTCTCGTGTGAGAAGCACAGAGAGGCTCGTTAGCACAACAAGGGTTTGAACCAGGAAGTTCCTGGTAATAAGCCCTGAATTCAGCCCCGGTCTAACAGGTTATACTTCACAATTTAAACACCAATTTCTAATGATATAGAACTATTCCATTCCATTGTGATTGAACAGGTGTTTGTTAAATGAACAAATTTAGAGCTAATTAAACCTCCAGCTCCAGAGTTCTCTCGCTGGTGTTGGCAGTCTTTAAATCCAGGCGACCTGTAAGAGACACTAGACTGGGGTTCTCCAGGATAAGGGATGCCTGTACCCCTGTAAAGAAGCCCACAGATGAAGGCATATCTCAAGCTCCTGCGTAAAACACACAGGTAACTCTTGATGCATTTGTGGGCGTCAAAATCTCAGGGCGTCCACTTCACGCAAGTTGTGTTGTGTTCAGGCTGTCTCGTCTCTAAATCCCCAGTGACCGCGTCTGTTCTGTCTGTAAATCTATATATACCTCTCCAAACATAGCTCTCACTCTCTCTCCTTATATATTTCTATCTGAATTTATGACACAGTGATGTGTGCCAGGCCTCCACACAATAGCCTCTGCCCTGAAACCAGTAACTCAATACCCAGGAGTTTGTTTGCAGAGGTGTGTGTCATTCATCTGCCGCCCTCTGGTTGAAGAGTTGCCCGTTTTGAATTATTTCTGTTTGTTGTGCTGTTGCTATGACTGGGGGACCTCTCACCATGGTAAAACAAAAAGTTCTTACTGAGAACCAGAAGTTCACATCCTTGTGATACTTGATACCCTATCAGTTGTTTCTCCTAAAACAGAAACTGTCTGGAGACAGAGATAAGGGGGGAAAAACTGTTTTTATGAGGGTACAGCTGTACAATACATTCTGAGCCTTCCACTAGATATTCATTTATAGGGGAAAAACTTTGCACAGCCAATATTGTTTTCTAGGTATGTGCGTATGAAAGTATTGAAGCTCTTTCCTTTGATCGGTATCTTAATGAAGAACAAAAAAAAACTTTTGCTACCAAAAAGTTTGTTTTATGGATGTGAAAGGGCCATCGAAAAACGTAAATGTTTTATTTTACTCCTCTACTCTTAAGTTGCCCCCATTTGAATGAAAGGAGATTTTTACGAGGCTTTCAACTGTGATGTGAGGGTATCAGACGTGCAGCCCTACCCTTGTACGTGAAATCCACCTCCCTAGAGCTCAACACCTTCCAGAGACAGGGGCCTGCGCAACATTCAGGCCTTTTCACTGCAAGGCTATTCCGATGCTTGAAAATTCAGGGTCCTTAATGATTCGTTATCTTTAAGCATCGTTATGCTAGGAGTGCTACAGGCAACACCTCAGCTGGGAGCATTGTGCTCTCGGCAGGGGTGTTGAACTTCTGGGAGGATGCCCGCATTGCTGCAGCACCAACTCAAACAGGCGTTCCACAGGCATGGCGCACACAGCCCTCTGTGGAGGCTGGGAACAGGCCAAAGATCACAGGGTGCGGCCGCCCTGGCATTCCTGAGGCGTCAGAATAACGCGCTGCTCTTTTTTTCCTTGAAAGGAAGCAAACGGCAGAGCTCGTCTGCTTTTCACAGGACTTCCGTGTAGTTTAGGCTCGAGCCGGCCGCGATCCTGCATGGCTGTGGGCGTGCCCCTGTCCTGTGGGAAAGCTGTGCCAGAAAGGGCGCGGTCGAGGAAGCAAGTTGGATTTGTTTGTTAAACATGGACACAGGCGTGGCGAGTCTTTCCAGAAACAGCCCACTGCCTGGTGTATTGGTATGGAAGGCCCTAGGTGCTGGTGGAGAGTTTAAAGTGTGTTTACACGAGCATAGGCGCATGGCGAGGGTTCAACTCTTAGCACAAGGTGATTGGAGCTTGGAAGCTGCCAATGTTGATTGGAGCTGCTCCAGATTGGAATTCTGTAGTAGTTTATAGCAACTCTCGACACCTTGTCCAGAGAGATTACGATCTGGCTCTGAAATAAACTCTGAGAGCATTTTTTTGATCATCTCACTCTACACAGAAAAAGCATCTGCCTTGTGTTGTAATTTTTAATGTTTTATTTTAAACATGAGCCACGTAGTGCCTCTTCTGTGTGTTGGCCTTGGTGGGATGGTCATGGAGGTAGAGGGATACAGTCAACTATGCGGTAGGAACTGATTACGTGCCAGTGAAAGGTTGAAGGTGAGACCTGCACAGCTTTTTTAAACCCATTGCTGGGCTTCTCTGTCCTGAACTGCTTGCTTCAGGGCCTTTTTGTGAATCACCTATGTTCATGTGGAAATGCATGAGGGTTGCAAGCTCTGGCCTGGATCCACACCTCTGCTACTGAGTATTACTGGGAGATTTACAGTAAATGGTGCATATTCTCACAGTGTGGTCTTCCTGCCCTGTAGCCAGTTTCATGTTGAACCCTTTGAAAGCACTTGTTACCTCTCGGCTGTTTCTGAGTCACTGTTCCCCTCCACACTGATATGGTTCCTATTCAGTCTCCCTGTGTTGTACACTGAGTCCCACAGCACACCCCCCTCTTCCTCAGCTCTCAAGCAGTGGAGGCCAGTGTTTGTCCTGGGGAATCTAGCAGTGTTACACTGTCGATCACCCTTCGTTGTCAACACGTTACCAGAACATTTTTAATACTTTCTGTAAGACACCTATTCTACTAAACCAGTTGCAGTCCTTAAAGAGTACTGAGGTTACAATTCCAGAGGCTCTCTAAATCACACCCCCTAAACAAATGCCCTAATGTCAAATTTTCCACGTCTTTAAAAACAGGTTTCGGGATGGCCTGTGAGCACCGCAACAGAGCAAGGTTAGAGGCTTGCCGATTGCCTAATGTGGGCTCTCTGCACATGTGCTCCATGGTGGACTCGCCACACTCCTTTGAGATATTCATAGACACTCCTTTACATACACACCTAAGAAATCCCTCAAAGGCAGTTTCTTGCACTGATGCCTTGCTCGACAATGATACAGGCGCCTGTTTCAAAAGGCGTGACTGATCTGTCATACAAGCACCTGGGCATGTGTACTTGTACCTGTTCTAGCCAAACCGCCAAAACCCAGAAAAGCACCCAAATCTTTTGTTTTGTACCCCACTGCGCCCTGTAATTGAAGCAGACTCATGGTGCCTTTCTCTCTCTCTGGAAACGGTTATTGCAAGAGGCCTGATAGAAATCTTTCTTTTTTTAATAGTATCAGATCACATTGCAGCCTCTTTATACATAGTTAAACAAGGCCCCAAACATGCCTTACGTAATCCTAGCTAGAGTCTAACAATGGAGGCCTCAATCCTGTTGGGCATACAAAGCAGGTGGAAAAGCTCTGCCTGAAAAGGCTGACTTCACCCCCCCTCCCAAGACTTTGCAGTTGTTCAAGCAATGACAATTAGTATCTTTCATTCTGCCAAATCAAGTCATGGGAAATCAAGTCACATTTCTGCTGCACAGGAAATGTAATGATGAATTCATCTAGATCAGAGGGGGGCACCTCCTGTCTGCGAGTGTGGGAGTTATTGCTTCTGTGAACTTCGTTAACTTATATAGTCAAGTAAAATCATCTGTACAGTATGTGTTATCTGTCTCATCAGTTGCTAATTGAAAAGTGCCCTTAAAACCGCCTGGAATCCAGTCTCTGACTTGTCATCCCAGTTTTAAAAGATGTGTCAAAGATCATTGCATCTCCAATTTTAAAGAACACCCTAAAACCTAGCGTGTTATTGAATCCTCCTAGTAACAAATTAATTCATTTGCTCTGTAATTAATCTGTTTTTTGGTTACTTTAACAAGGGTGTCTTCAAATGCTCTAGAGTAGATAGTGTGATTAGTCTTGTTTAAGGAGTGTTTCCCTCGTGGAATACTTCAGCATGTTTAGACATTAATTTTCCTGAAATATCACCAAGAGATTAAGTGTATTTCCTTTTGGGGAAAAAATTGAATGTACAGAGTGCCCCCTACATGGAGGCAGAAGTAAGCAGTTTTGTTTTCAAACTTCAAAATCATCTCAAGGCCACGTTAGGCACATGAACAAGTAAACGTTTGAGTGCCTAGCCTAGAATCAGTAACCAGCATGATGTTGCTGCTGTCTGATGTCAGTCGATCCCTGCCAATTAGCATTGTTTCTCATTGTTTATTAAGTTCATTTTTTTCAGATCAAGCCTTCAGATCCTGCAAAAAAGATCTCCATGTGGCAGAAATGCAGAGTTTTATAGGTTCCACGATTCGGGACAAAAGTGCTGCCACGGTGTGCAGAGCTAAGCATTTATTGGTGCACCTGCAGTTGGAATTCCTGCGGTTTGAGCGCCAGTGGCCAGTGGCCAGTGAGACCCAGTCCTGCTCCTGCTGCTTGATTCACTGGGTTTGCTCAGCGTGCGGCCCCTCTCAACAATGAGCACTGTTCCCTCCACCAGACCTCAGGCTGTGAGTGTGGGTTAACACTGAATCTGACCCACAGCGCACCGGAGCGAAAGCTTTGATTTCGTCCTGTTGAAAAAAGAGCCCGGTTTGCTTCCAGAACGTCTGCCAGGACATGTTGTGCAGTTTTGTGTTAAAGATCTCCTGGGAACTGGCAGTAACACTGTAATGGCTGACATTGCCTCAGCGGCCTAGAATGTCATCCTCTGTCAGCAGCAATAATGTCTTCAATAATGTCAAAACACGGCTTGCTTTTCACAAGGTTCTGAAAGGTTCTGTGCAGCCCAAAGTGACCCGCTTTCTTCTAGCAGGATGATGAGCTGGGATTGAGCTGCATGCGCTACCGGCTCTACTGGGTTTAACAGGATTGAGAGCTGGGGATTGTCCAGGCCAGGGAAGGCGATGGAAGCCTACTGCATCTTTGACCTGCCACTAACACAGCGCTTTGCTAAAGTGGTACAGCGTCAGCCCCATCCCAGCAGTCATTCTGGGGAACGGCTGGAGCCCCAGTCCCCTTGTTTGAGCAAGTGACCTTTCCATGAAGGAAACAGTGGTCCTGCACGGCTGATGGGGTTTTGTTCAAAATCATCTCAAAATCACTTGAACACAATTGTTCCAGACCTGTTTAAATTGATGATTTAAGGTGATTTACCCATAAAAGTGGGTATTCTTGAAAAGCAACAGGACTGGGCTCCCCAGGATCAGGGTTGCCTGAAGATATTGTGCCTAAAACTCATATTTCAGTGTCCATGGAGCTCCTTAGACCTGCCTTTTGTACGATCTCTGTCTGTTTTCTGTATAAGTGTCTGTTTTGCTCTTAATGAAGGCATTCTTTCTACAGTATGTTGCGCTGTTCAGGAGTGCCAATGAGACATTTACTTGTGGTTGACAACTGAGTTAGGTCCTGAGCAACATCTGTCAGTTTTGGAGTAAAAGGTGAACCTGCCAGTTACTGCATTTGTTGCTGCTCATTGTGATATTCATAACAGTTATCTAAAAAAAATGGTGTTTTGGTTTGTGCAGGCTTTTTTAGCTACACTTTTTTAGCAGACCAAGAAGGTTGGCATTTCCTGTCCGGATGCCACGCCTGGGTGTGCTAGATCCAGAATTGCCCTTCTTGAAGTCAACCTCCAATTTAGAAGGTATTTGAGTTGGAAAGAGATAAGTGGCCCAAAATAAGTTCTCTTGTGTTGGCCCGTCCAGCCTGGCCTCCTGGAATACAGGTCAGGCAAACGCTCTCAAAGAAGGAAGGAGAAGCTGTTGGATTCAATGGCTAATTGTGGCTTGATTTATTCTTCATGCTCACTAGCTGTAGAAAGTTAATGGATTAAATTAATATCTTACACTTCTATAGTGCTTTTCTGGACACTCCACTCAAAGCACATTACTCCTCCACCACCACTGGTGTGCAGCCCCACCTGGATGATGTGACAGCAGCCATAGAGCTGCGTGTGTGGTGTGTGCTCAGAGAGAGCAGAGTGATGAAGCCAGTTCAGAGATGCGGATTATTAGGAGGCCATGATTGGAAGTTAGGACACCAGGATAGCGCTGCCCAATGTTATCATTTTCAGAGCTTTAAGAAGTATGTGGAAAACACCCCACAGGTGTTTTTGATTGTGTCCCAGACATTGTTGGCTGGGCTTGATGAGGCAAAGTGGGTAAGACCCAGATGCTTCTGGTTGGGGCCTGGATCAGAGTTCATCATTCAGAGTCCCATTATTGACAGTGGTGCACAGTACTGTTTGCACTAGCTTCTACATGCTGCTTCAGAAGGAGTAAATCACGGTGACACATGACTGTAACAATCAAGTGAATTTTATTTGTTTTGTCAAAAAGTATGCATATCAAAACAGGAGATTTTCCCAGGGGTTAGTATTGCTCTCTTCATAAAAACTGACTTCATTTAGAAAGAAACGGTTGTTTAGAAAATTAAATCTCAAAAAGTGCTCAGAAGGACTTGCATTCATCTTTCGGTAAATAAATAGCAGGTTACATAGAAGAGAGCTAAAGCAAGACATAGCAGTTTTTAAAACACAATAAGAGTACATAAATAATAAGGAGCAGGAGATGAAAAGGGTTAGTGTAGTATCTTTTTACACTGAAAGTACAGTAACACCAGATTCAAAATGTCTAGGAATGATTTTTAACATTTTAACCAGCAGTCTAGCAGAACACTTACATGATGCACTTTTAATACTTATTTTACTACAGAAACAAAGCAAAGGAGCGTCCATTTTAGAGCGGTGTGGTTCGCAGACGTGCAGAGATGAAAGCCTGTCGACCAGATCCCACGAGCCTCAAACATCGGAGTGGAGAAAAAGTCGTGTCAGAAGAAAATGTTCGGAACACGGTCCAATCGGCAGATCGATGTACAGGGAGGGGGCGACGGCCGTCAGAGTTGTGCCATCCTGGAGGCAGACCCCTGCCAAGAATAAAGACCTACAGTACACAGATGCAGGTCAGTCGTGTGAGCCGGAGTCTGGCGCGCAGCTGGAGCAGGCTGGTTAAGGGTGTTCGGATGATGCAGAGACTTCAGTCAAGAGTCTTCATTCGCTGTTTCGCACCAGAATGTCAAGCGACTCTAAAGTCCCCCTAGATAGGGAGGTTTTGGGTGGAAATGGGTGCAGATACCACTAGTGGCCACCGGGTGGCGCTGTCAGTCCTCCTCCTGATGGCCGTTGACCATTCCCGTTTCCCAGCGTTGCAATAGTGGAATCTTCTGGCGGGGGGTCTTAGGGCTCCCTTTCACCTGGAGAAAAAAAAAAGATTAGTGATAACATCCCACAGAATTGTGAATTATACAAATACTCGCATGGTAATGTTGGAACAGAACAGGAAAGCAAAATGTTTCTGTCCCCTGTCCCCTTTTCTTTTCTCTCTGTTCCCTTATCTTCTGATGATTTTGTGTTTGCATGGGGTTTTAAACGTTGTGATGGTTTATTTCTAAAGGGAGTATAAACGTGGTGTTTGCCCAGGGCTGGGCATCCTGCTGAAAGACAATTCACATCAGGAAATTCCTACAGAGGGTCAGACTGGACTTTGATCCCCCCAGCAGTGAGTTAACCACAGCAGGGAAGTTACCGCAATAACTCAGGCAAATGCCGAGCGGAGCTGAACCAGGCTGAGCTCCGCGGAGCTTGAAGTAACTGATCCTGTGTGGTTCCAGTGAGGGGACAAGGAAGTTCATCTGCCCCAGCTTCCTGTGGGTTACCCCAGTGCTCAAACTGATGGGTGCAGAGGGAGGGGGGATATACTGTACCCTTTCACTTGTTTAAAAGAAGCGCTCCCCACTGGAAATTGGTCAGTTTTTATAAGGCTTTCCTGACCTCTCTTCCCAGATCGGATCAGTTATTCCACCTGCAGAGGAGGAACTAAGCGAAAGGCCCACACTTGGCAGAGATTCTAGTTCAAGCCCAGCTCACCCTGTCTTCTCTGTAAGTGATAACGTGATAAAAGCATGTGCTAAGTGTATAATTATCACTGCACTACTGTTAACACTGAGGATCAGTCTACTGTGGCTTTAATCTCACTGTAGATGTGTACATCTGCGTTGAGATGAATGAACAGGAGTGGGATTCAAGATTCTTGCTATATACTGTAATGTATTTATTAGGCGTTTCATGTTCTCTCAGCCACAGGGCCCAGGCACTGCATTTCTCACTTGTCACTTCATTTTGTATATGTCTGCTTTGACAAGCATCCAGTGAAAATGTATAAAATATTCACACTCATTTCTGTTGCATCAGGGCAGTTTGCATTACACTGCCCCCCCAGGGAATGAATCAAGTATTTTGAATTGAACTGAATTAATAATAAGCAATAATGCATTAGTATGGTCACACCAACTACATCCAGTGCTGGAATCTCTGACCCTTTTAGGAAGGGTTCCTATTCATCCATACAAGCATTTGTAAAATCAACATCCTATTTCTCCATTGTGGATCAGAGCCTGATCTCTTGTGCCCGCTGGCTGTCCTTACTGTACTGTACCTCTGTGTGGCCGGAGGGTTCTGCAGCAGGTCGGCAGGGTGGGGGCCAGGTCACGTCCAGTTTCCCCAGGGACTGCCGAGCTACAAGAGGAGAGGACAGCAGGCTGTTACTCACCCTGCCCACAAACAGCAGCAAGTATAGAGCCTGTTCAGCTCTTACTCAGCAGTGTCCTGGAACGCTGCATATTCCTATAGTTAAGGCGCCAAGCTGTGCAATTAGGCCACGCTGTTATGGCCAAAGCGCTCATCTCTAATTGCATGCTAGACTTCATAATTACTGTGTTTGTCTGAGCCTTTGTGCAGAACTGTCCTTTAGCTGCGACACACAGCCACGTTGCTCTAGCTTGTTAACCCCAGAATGCCCACTCTCACACAGCCTGACATCTGGAAGGGATGGATCGATGGAAAGATACTGTAGATGTTCACAACTCGCTCAACAGCAGGGTAATCAAGCCTGATCTTGGAGATTCACAATCCAGCAGGTATTATAAGACATCCTGCATGCATCTAAAACTCAGAGTGCTGAAAAGACATGTAGGCACTGCACTTCTGAATAGCTGACCAGACAATATGGTAAATTATTGAATCGACACATTGCTTCGGGGTTACTTTTAAAGTGGAGTCTAAGATGCTGGTGACTGAAAGTGTTGAATGATGAGACACTGGTCCAACGATACGCACAGGAATGCTAATGAATTCCCAGGGTTGGAGCTTTGCAGGACTGCATTAGATGATTAAATCTGAACCTGATCCCACTCCAGCATCAGAGCTACTGTATGCTGTAGTCACTCCATTAATCCTCTTTTCTTATCCTGGACCAGATTAGCTGATCAGTACCACTTACACACTGCAAAAAGAGCCCACTGTCAAACAGATGTAGTGCAAAACTGACCGGCAAAATTAGCAGATTTACTGCACTTGGGCCCTTGTAGCTGTAGTTTAGCGATGGCATTTGACTCAGTTGTGGAGAAAGGTTCATATGACTGATTCAGAAGAGATCCTAAGCTTCAGTCGCTCTAAGCAAAACAGCGTGCAGTGTTTCAGGCAATGTACAGTGTGACAGATCTCTACCCCAGCAGCAGCACATGATTTAGATGCTGCACTCTTAAGAGTGATTTGCATAAAGGTCAACTGTAGTGCAGCTCGGCTTTGAACAACTCCTGCTGGGGACGGGACAGGAATACCAGCTGAACAGCTCCAGCATAAGGAGCAGGCCTGTGAGCTCTGAAGACTTTGTGCATACGTCAGAATGTGGAGGAGTATTCAGGGGAAGACTGACTCCAGACAGTCTGGATCTAAAGACTGGAGACTGATGAATTAATCAGAAGATCTGTCATTTAAGAGATCTCTGGTCTTTGGTGAGCACTTTAATTTTGATCTCAAGTGATCTCTGATGGTTTCATTTAGAAACTCGCCTGCTTTGTGTTTATCAGAACCAACACCACATTCTATGATGCAAACCACAGTCCAAGGCACATCCACTCCAAGGCACATCCACTCCAACATCACATCACCTGCAGTCGGTGCCAGCACCGTAAAATAACATCACAATGCTAGAATTTCTCCGGAAGGCTTGACATCTGCCATTAACCGTGGGTGTTTAAAAAGTTCTAAATATTAGAGGTCATTTCAAAAGATGTTAATCCTAACAACACGCATCCACACCTGTACAAAAGGGCTCAGCCTGGCTGCCTGTCCTCGTGGCTCAGCTCGCAGTCATGGACTGTGGTAAAAGCAGGTCTGGCCTCAGGTTGGCCACAAAGCTTCCATTAGCACCTTCCACTGTTTGGGATACTGAAATCACCTGTTTTTTCCAGTCAGCCACCTGAGATACTGATGTCATGTCTGGCCATTCCTGTGACAAACTGGGAGGACACTGCTTACTGCTGCCCGTGTCCTTTACCCCAGGACAACCTTCAGTACTGCTTTCAGTCAACAATCTCTTATTGCGGCAGCTTGTTCACCAGGATAGCCCTTGACCTGATCACTCTAGAAACTCACAAGAGGAAATGCTTCAGCTGCGACAATCTGCTTCAGACAAAACAATTGACCGTTTCTGAGAATCAGTGACAGGCACCCTGGCTGGGATTCCACTGTCTCTTCCTTGCTTAGGGTCTTGATCAGGTTTTACTTTTCTGTGCAAGCAGGGCATGTTTTTTAAATTTGTAATATCTTGTAAAATCTGTTCTACCAACATTAAGCACATTTCCCTGTAACAGCCAAAGAGTTCCTCAAAACACTTCTGTGCAACCCAGTTATTTGCACAAACAACTGCACGCAGCACTTCTCTGTTTCAGGAAGCCAAGCTGAAGAAGCTTCTGCACATGTTGGTGTGTGCTCCATTTTGTGCTTGGTGTTTAATACCCACTTTTTCAGTTTTGAGAATACTGGTTTTAATAAGTCTGGGATCTGTGTTTGTAACACAAACAATATGACAGGTCATGCATTTCACTTACAGTACTGTTTTTGTAGATCAAAGCAACAGAAACAGATATAAGATAGTCACCCTTTTATATTATCATGTATGGAGATATAAAACATGAAAAATCATAATCATATCATAAATAAATCTTAATCATATGAAGAATTCATAAGTGAAATTTGAATAATCAGAGCCTTTTCTCCAGTTCTGGGACTGTGATGTTCATACTGTATACTGACCAGCCTAGATGGCAATCTCTGAGACAGCTAGGATCTGTAGTTCAGTGTGATTTTAGGCAAAGCCTGTAAAGGGATTAATGAATTAGGCATCAGCCTTCCACAAAAACTAATTAATCTGCCTGCATGAGAAATAGCTTTTTCCTTCTGAAGACCACAACATTTTTAACAGCACGTGCACACAAGAAAGGAGGAATTACTCTCCTGAGTCTAAATCACAAGCTTAAAATTCTGTTCAATAATGCCAGCCCCAGTGTCCGGAAAGCATAAAACCTTCACTGCCTACTTCCAATCTGAAGCCCCTGTTTCTTAAGTGAAACTCCCAGACATTTTGCACTGTTCTGAAATGATGATGCATTGGATGATTCATTTCAATCACTGCTTTTTTTATTATTATTTTGAGCTCCTGGGAAGTAGGTAGTCAGAGAGTAAAGTAAAAAACCAATGAACTCCCGAAAGGTCTTGTTGAGAATAAGACATCGTAGCCTTCCTTCCGCAGATTTCTTCCCAGGGGGAAAATAAAACCCCTGTGAAACCAGCACGGTTTGTAGCTTGTGAAAATGGGGGCATGGTGGGCTGTGCTGCTGCCTCACAGCTCCAGGGTTCTGGGGAGTGTCTGTGGATAGGGCACTTTATGTGTGGAGTTTGCATGTGTTCTCTGAGTTTGTGGCATTTTCTTTTTGTGTTCACTGCCAGTCACACCCTGTTATCCTTGTGGGGCTAACAGATCTGACATTCAGTCATGTCAAAATAAACTTGATCATAAGATCTACAACAATTCAGAAGGAAATACAGTTCATCTCTGTACCAGCACACCCTGTGGAAAAACCCACACCCTTCAACACAAACCAACTGCCTTTTTTGCACCTTTCCTGAGCTGTTTCAGCACAAGCACCCTTGATCGAAGCTGTAGAGATCCTAGTGCGGATCCCAGGGAGGCTTTGATCGTGGTGTTATTTGAGCCCTTATTACTAAAAAAAGCCACTCCTGTTTGTCTCTCTCACAGCTTTTCTGACTCGGCTACCTGGAGCAGAGAAAGAGAGAGAGAGAGGAGTCGGGTCGCTCAATAGGGACGTTACAGGCAATCACAAGGTGAAACCAGGCGGAAAACAGCCCGGCTATTGGGGATCATCTTTCTGAACACGCTTTTCAGTCGAGCGCAGACAAAAGGCCAGCAACGCTACAGCGATTGTGCCCTTTAACACTGTGCGCAGGTCAGTCTCGTCTGCACTGCCAGCTGCCTGGTGAGAGCTCTCTTTGAAATCGGCATGAAAACACTCCACCATTCCCACCAACACCGAGATCACCATCCATCCCCATTGCCTAGAACAGGCATGGAGAAAAGAGTCCTGTTGTGCAGACAGGCTCCATGCCGGGTTTTACTGCTGACAGTACAGGACTTTTGTACAAGCTGTACTGATGGACCAGAAAAGTGAGATCTGTGTGACCATAACCTTGAACACCACGTATTTCAAAAAACAAGGTCATGAGCATGAAGTATCCAGCACCACCTTTTAAAGATCTTGCAGCTTAGTAAAACCCGGACTGGATCCAACTGCTAAGCAAGGGACTCTGAAAATATTGCATTTCTTCCTCCCCTGTCCCAGAAGTCTTCCAACATTAGCTCTGTCGATTTGATTTCTTTGTTGGGTTTTATTCTTGGGTTTCCTGAAGTTCAAGAAACAGGCAGATAAGATTTTGGGAGGAGTAACTGACCAGTATTCACATAAGCCGCAAGGGAGGCCAGCGCCATTATCTTTAGATACCATTTCTTCTGTTCTCCAATCGTAGTGCACGGCGGAGCAGTGCTCAGGGCTCTGGACTCTGCCCTCAAGCAACGTACTAGTGGTGAATGGAAATGGCAAAAAAAAGGAAATATTGATTCAAAACATTGAGGGTTCAAAATCCTCAGACTCACCTAGAAGCTTCTGCATGGCTTGACACCTCATTACCTGTCTGACTTACTTTCATCTTACTCCACACCTCTGCACCCTTCGTTTGCCTGATTCTGGTCTCCTGACAGGTCCCCTGTCCAGGGGAGGCAAACTTTATGGGTGCCTACAAAAGCTCGCTTACACTTTATGGGTGACAGGGCCTTCTCTGCCCCCCAGTGCTCTGGAATTCTATCCCCACGATCAGAGTCACCTTCCCTGAGCTCTTTGAAATCCAGACTGCAAACCTTCCTCTTCAGGGAGTCTGCATCTGCTCCTTGTGTCCTTCTGCTGCATTTCTCATAATGTTGTTTGTGCTAATTTTGTCATCTCCTGTCTTTGTTGCTGTTTTCATTGTTTTAATTGTTTGTTTTTTTTTTACCTTTCACATAAAGTGCTTTGAGAAGATGCTGAGATAGAGGCTATGTAGAATTATTATTGTAAAAAGGAATGTAGAATCATTTGTTTCTACTTGGGTACAACGCATCTTCTTACAGTGCAGACACGATAGACTGCCCTCTGCGTGTGAACTCCAAACACATGCGGTCAGATTGCCTCATGTTGAATGTTTAGACTCCACACAGGGCTGAGGAATGATAATCCTGAAACGGATTGTTATAGGTGTTCCTACAAACAAAACTCTGTTTGGATTGCTGGACCTTGAGAGCCCAGTGGAGATGTGGGGAACTGTATGGAGAACTAGACAGCCTCACAGTGCAGTGTCACACAGCTGGGGTGCTTCTGAGTGAGACGCCCCCTCTCTCTACTGGGGTACGATCCTGTGGGTGTTATTCACCCACTGAATATAACCATCACATACATGGGATAGGATGCAGATGTGTCACCTAAAAACTACCCCCCCCCCCCGCCAACATTTGATCATTCCTCCTTTTTACAGGCTATAGAAGTTTTCTTTGCTTCTAATAAGAATCGTCAATTATCTTTTGGCATTTCTCCCATGGATCTGGAATTGCCAGTGGTGTATTTTTTTCATGTCTTAGCAGCTGGGGGCGGATGAGGAAGATTCTGCTGCCCTGCCCACCTTCTAGCCAACTGGATCTTAACACATCACAGACAATGCCTCCCCCCCAGACTGGAGGATCAGCACTGATAAGGGGAGGGGCGTGTCCCTCAATGAGAGCACTGCGTACCTGCAGGCACCTGGGATGTTACAGGGGTCTTGGTGTCGCTGACTTACTGTAGGCCTCTAGACCCTGCACTCAGCAAATCACCTGCTGCAGCCTGGAGAATCCCAGTCCCAGTCAGTTAGTGACCTGACGAAGGCACAAACCCACGATCACAGAGCTCAACCTGTGATGGAGCCACTCAGGAGGCCCCCTCCTATTTAAATATTCCTTACCTTGGTCCCCCTGTGCAGCAATTAAGCCTCTGTGCCCTTAACTGCTACTGCTGCTGAACACGGATGTGCGTCTCAGGTCCATGACCTGGTGAGTTACTGGAAAATCTCACCTGTGTTTGTTTTGGATTAGCATCATTCCTGACCTATACAGCTGCCAGTAAAAAGTTTCCCCTTCCTAAAGACATTTCCCTGATGAAATACGAGTCCCACCTTGTGAAATGCTCATGAAGACACTCACAGTAGGAATCATTTTATAATAACAGCCCGCACAAAATAAAACAAGCTAAAATGTGGGAAGAACAAATTAAAATACAGCTAACTCATACTCTAGGAGATCATAATGACAAACTGAGAAGGATTCACTGCTAAGCCGATACTGTTAAAGAGCTAAGAAGGAAATTACTCTTCCACAGTTCCAAGAATTGAGGCTCATTTATTTCGTTCTTGTTCATCTGGGACTTTCACCCGGCAGGACCCTTGATAGCAACTGTTGCCAAGAGGCTGCTTACAACAATACAGCTGACAGGACCTAGACCCCAGCTATTCACAGAAAAACCCACCACAGAACTGTCTCTGGAATATGTTGTAGGTACCCCTGAAAAAGTTACCTCAAAACCTGTGCTGGTTTATTTAATATGCAAAACAATTCAGTTGGACTAAAATTAGACTGTGACCTGCTTCTGTGTGCATACCTGCACACCCCTGTTAGAAAACACCTGTGCGTGAGTGAGAGAGTTCAGCGAGGGCGAGGAAGGACAAGGTCTTTGCAGATAAAACACGCAAGTCAGCCGTGGCTGAAACAAAAAATCTGAGCAATGAAGGAGTTGGAGATGAAAGGGAGGCAGTGTCGCATCTCAAATATGGACATTAATATTGTGAAAGAGAAATATCAATGTTGGATTGAAATATTAGTCTGGTAAAGGTGACCTAGGATGAAGTAACCCTTAGATGTGTATCTCTATCCAACTGTATACACGAGAAGGGACAGAACTAAATTCATCAGTAATTAAATATACAGTAGATTACATATGCATTAATACCATTACTGCCTCACAGCTCTTTAGTCCTGGGTTCAATTCCTGGGGTGCTATCTGTGTGGAGTTTGAATATTCTCCCCATGTTCACATGGGTTTCCTAACGTAGTCCAAAGTCAAAAGGTTATGTTAACTGGCTTCTGGGCAAACTGGCCCTGCTGTGAGTGTGTGTAAGTCTGTCTGTGCCTTGTGATGGGCTGGCATCCTGTACAGGTTGTACCTTGCCTTGAGCCCCTTGCTTACTGGGATAGACACTGGCCCCCCAGCAAGCCTGTATTGGATAAAGAGGCTAGAAAATGGAGATCTGGATGTTTGCACATAGGTGTGTAGCTGGACTTAGTCAGTCTCGGAGGGATGGCTACATGGAGAGCAAACCTGTGAAGAACACGAGGCTGAATGAATGCAGACACACACATCTTCTGCGTGATAGACACTAACCTGAGGGAGCTGGCGAGGGCGAGGGGGAGGGGGAGACCGGCCGGTTGGGGGGGGGGGTTGATGGGATGGCCAGCCCATTGGGGGTGGCGGGCTGGGGCTCTTCGCTGTCCCGGGGGCCTCCCGCTGTCCCGTAAAGGCTGAACCTCTGGCGGCGCAGCTCCCTCTCCCTCTGCTGCGCCTCGCGGATATCCTGCTCCACCTCGGGCTTGAGCGACATGGAGGAACGCAGCTTGAAGAAGGGGTTCTCCCGGGGGGGCTCGTCCTCCAGCAGCACCTCCCCGTCTGGCTCCTCCTCCCCCTGCGGGGCGTACGGCATGCCCCTCGAATCCAGGACCGGCGCCCTCTCCCCCTCGTGGCTCCTCGCAGGGTCGTTGGCGACGGGTGCCGCGCGGAGCAGCGTGGCGGGGATCCTGATGGTGTTCTCCAGGATGATGACTTTGCCCACGGCTCCTTCCGTAAGAGACGGGCCCTTCGGCTCCAGGTTCACACTGGGTGCGGTCCCGCTGAGAGGGCCCTGGGCCAGGCTCAGACCCGGACTTTGCGACACCAGGTCTAAGCTCCTTCTCCTCTCCAGGATCGAAGAACGGGGAGATCCCCCGAGAGAGGCGTCATCTGCAGTCGCCCTGGGCGTTGTGGCGGGGTCCTTGCTCTCCTGGAACACCTCGAACAGCATCTTCCTCTCCCGCAGCTGCCGGACGGTGCCCTTGTCGTAAACCCCAGGCACCTTGCCCAGTTGAACCAGGTCCTCCTCCCTCTGGGTGTCCATGCTGATCTCCATTTGCATCTTCTTGCCAGCAAAGTGCCTGTCCTTGCCTTTGCCCGCCTTGGAAGGAAGCGCCTGGGAGAGGATGGGCTTCCTCAGGGGGATTTCCACGTACTCCTCGGACACGCTGGGCTTGGAGATGCCTCTGGACCTCCGCAGGTTCTCCTCTCTCTCCAGAGCCAGCCGGATCTCCCTCTCGATGGGGGTCTCGTTGGCTGGGAGCGCCCCACTGAAGGAAGAGTTCATCTCTAAGGTGCTGCCGGGGGAAAAGTCGGCAGACACCCCGCTGTCGCTGAGGTTGTCATCCCCGTTCTCCAGCTCCATTCTCACTCGCCGGGCAACCGGTTTCTCCTCTCCGTGAGCCGGAAGGCTGCCTTCTTCTGTGCTCTCTCTCCCTGCCTCGCCTGTCCAAGCTGTTCCCTGCTTGGCTGCACCTGTTAGTCTACCTACTGGTGGCCCCTCCCCTCTCTCTGTCCCTTTAAGCTCCCTAACTACAACAAAACTCCCAGAGCAGGCTCCCTCATTGGCTGATTCCTGGGCAACTGTTGCTAGGGGCAGTGACTTCTGCACCTGCTGCTCCTGTGCCTGTTGCAGAGTCTTCAGGCAGTGTAGGAGCTCCTCCTGGTGACTCAGAGGCAGAACTGCATCCTCTGGCTGGACTTTATGGGAGGAATTTGCTGGAGACGATGATGCTGTTTCCATGAGCTGGTTTCCGGAGGAGCTCCTGGAGAAGGAAGGCTGGGGGGGTCTGCTGCTGCCATTGTTCTCCAGCTTCATCCACTGCTCCTTGGCAGTGCTGAAATCTAAAGACTGGTAGTCCACCACACTTTTAGTGTCCCCCTTTGTAGTGGGGTCTTCTGGCGTCTCGCAGCACAACTTGACAGCTTCTCCCGAGGGCTCCCCGCGGTCAAGGCCATCATCAGATGGGCCAGAATGAGAAGTCGTTTCTTCAGATGGCCCCTGGGGGTTTGCAGCCTTACGCAGATCAAGTCCATCCACTGTTTCCACGAGCAACCCTTCCCTTGCCTCCATGCCCAACTCCAGCGGGGTAGGTGGCCACTCCTGGCCGACACAGGGCTCCTGCCTGGCCACTGTTTCCTCAGGGAATGGGATTTCCTTGGCATCGGATTCCCCTTCCACAGCATCATTGCCTTGCTGGTCGTCCTCTTCTGGTGCTAGTAGACACTCCTGCTCTGTGTCGCTAAACATGACCGGCGGGGCAGGAGGGAACTCTTGGGCCTCTGGGATACGTTGAGGGAGTTTCCAGTCAGCACAGTCAAGGGCATCTAATGCATTTTCTTCCACTGGCCACTGTGGCTCTGGCAAATCAGGCCAAGATTCCTCTTGCTGGGCCTTGGGCGCTTCCCAATTCATGGACGGAATGTGTTCTCCTGTTGCCTCCCTGTCTTCAGTGGAGTCTGTATCCCCCTCCGTCAGGAGGCTGCAGTTCTCCCAGTCCTCTGAGAGAGAACTTGGGAGGCTTCTGGGGTCTGTTGCCATGGCACCCGTCTCGATTCGCACGCGCTCCCTGACCCTCGGCTGTTGTCGTAGTTACCTTTCGAGCTCGTCGTTCCCCGCCCCTTTCCTCAAGGAATCTGGAAGGCAGAGGCAGCAAGGTCATGGCAGGCAAGAATTACCCTCCGCCCACAAACATGCACACAGCTGCCTTCTGTGTTAGAAAACTTCACTAGTTCACGGACTCCTCAAGTCCAATTGTTATGTTTTTAGGCAACAGCACAGAGAAGTGATTAGACCAAAGAGTCATTTATTCTCAGTTGACTTAACCTGGTTTAAATATCAACCTTTCACTGACCCTCTACATCCTGCAATGAGTTCACCGTTCATAATTTTTGACAAAATAGCACTCCTACTATACATATACCATGCCCTGATTTCATTATTATTGTAATATTGAAACCATCCTAAAACTTTAATTCCAAAGCAAACAAAATGAACACATTCTACAAGAGACTAGCACATCATGGGCCTTTGCAAAGAAGCACGCTTCCCACAATGTTATCAAGAGGCAGCACACAAGTACACTCTACATAGTGTATGTGTAAGTATCTACTGTATATGCCAAGATTTCTCTTCTTTAACAAGAAATGCATGAAGACACTTTAATATATTTTAGCCAGTTTGCTTTAATCACTCAATCGTGTGGCTGATCCAAAATAAAAAGCCCAGCCCACTCAGAACTGAGTGTGTGCTGGCTTCTCCCACAGGCCAATGAAGACTTGACGCAGCCTGCCTGCCTGGCAGGACAACTCATGCTTATTAGACCGAGCTTGTTTCTGAGCATGTCTAAGATTTCCCCTGTGGCTTGTGAAAAGTGCCAGTGCATTGCCCGGAGTAGAAAACAAAAGTTCATTTCTAGAGGTTTAAAAAAAACGTTTTAAAAATGTAAATTGAAACTTTTGAAACTGGAAATTCACCCCAAGATGCTGAGTGTGCCATTTCAACATATTTGATCTATAAACAATACAGCGTTGAGTTTTCATGCTGTAGAGATTTTCTGAAAATACTCATTATATTCTTTAAAAATCAGTTGGGCTACAATTCCCAGCTATTAAGCAAGAAAGCTCACATTAGGTTACAGCTCATAACTCCAAGACCCCACTGCAATGAACAAGATCTTTAACTACTTTTTGATCAGCAGTGGACTCTGCCAGTGGGTTGGAGTTTTAGGGACTGTTACCCCCAGATCAACCTGCTGTCCCTTCAGCAGAACGCAGAGAGAGTGTGTGTATCACGTTGCAGGTTCAGCCTTTGCATAGCAGTGCTGGGGAGACATTCAGGCACCTGAACAACTTTGGGTGACTGAACTCTAAAGCTTTTCAGTATTCTTGCGCACAGTTCTTGTACTGCATTTGCTGCTTTATAAAATCAGTTCAGAGAAACATGCAATAGCAGTTGTACTTACTTAAGGTTTTTTATGGCATGACTTGTACTGATGAGGCATTTTAACTTCATTCTTCTTTCTGCACAAATTTACTGAGTTGTAAGCACACGGTACAGGCCTCTTTACTGTATGTGCAAAAGCTTGCAACTCAAAAACTCTGAACAGATCCAACTGCTGTCAGGTGGGACTTGTTTACCAGTAGTTACTGAAAGAAATCTTTGCAAGCTTTTAATTGCACATTCACCATTAAGAGGGATAGGTTACAAAAGAATCAGAGTTCACTAATTAGTCACCTTTCCCAGAAACGTGGCTGCACAGCTCCAGGGAAATCACTTCTGCACAATTAGCGCTATGACTGCAGCAGGCCAAGTACCTTGGGCTGCACTTAGATCCAAGCCTGTCATCTGATCTTGAGGGGGGCTGCAGCCTCCTGCAGAATCACATAACTTGCAAAGTTTTCTGCTGATTCAAAGCAGACCTTAATCTGATTATCTGCTCTCAGCAGCTCAGCCGAACTCACACGATCTGTATCTGCCCTGGTGAAGGCCAATGGCTGGAGCTGGGCTCACACTGCCTCTGCCACCCCTCACTTTCCTCACCTCTGTCCACTAATCCGCACCACCTCCTTTTCTCTCAGCTCCTCGCGTCTTACTCAGAGTCCACCCTGCCTCCTTTCAGAGCCTCATGTCTTACACAGAGCCCACACTGCCTCCATTCAGAGCCTCGTGTGTCACTCTGAGCCCACACTGCCTCCATTCAGAGCCTCGTGTGTCACTCTGAGCCACACTGCCTCCGTTCAGAGCCTCGTGTGTCACTCTGAGCCACACTGCCTCCATTCAGAGCCTCGTGTGTCACTCTGAGCCCACACTGCCTCTG